GCAAAGGCCGCATGTGAATTTTGGCACCCAAAGGGAAAACGAAAATTAACATTGGGCACTCTGCCTATGCGGTGCGTGCTCGATATTTTCAGCCACCCGCGTGGGCCTCGGAAAAACGGAGTCAAGCCATGCCAGTGACGAAAGCCGCGGCCGGACGAGGCGGATCGTGGCCTCCGGAGAATGTTTTGCGTGGCAAACAGAGCCTCAATATGATACACGAGGCATCGACGGGATTTAAGTTCAAGGGACACATGAGGCTGGTTTGCCTAGTGTCACTGTACAGAGCGCTGGTATGTACATGCATAATGTGCTAGTTCGATTCGAGAAAGCTCGAATCCATAATTCCAGCTTAGTGGTAGATTTCCGAATTAGCATCATGCAACTCCGTAGTAGCGACTGGTAGCATCAACATGAACTTCATGGCTCGACAATCCTGGACAGCACATTCGCACCAAAAAGGGCACGTGCCGGTGCCGGGTCCACTTCCCTAAATGGGATGCTGCTGGGATGCCAAATGGTGCGCCACTGACGCAATCCAGCAGCATTAGTGTGAGACTCGAGTGCTTTCACCTAGGTTTAAATTGTCAAAAATGCGTCACACGGCACAGACACTCGGGAGGGAAGAGACAAAGAGACGAAAACCTGGGCTTTGGTCAGCTCCGAGCCGATATGCAATATGCAGAGTACGGGTTCCCCCCTCCCCCAAATATTGAACGGGGCACTTCCAGATGGTAGGTCAAAACCTCGGCCACGCGCGCGACAATCGAAAAAAAAAAAGAAAAGAAAAGAAAAGAAAGCTTGAATATTTCCAGTCGTGTCGTAGAAGACTTGGGCAGTAGGACACGCATAGGGCAACCCCTTTGTGTCTCCTTGGCCTCAGAATTGAATTTATTTCATTTCGTAATGCATGTGTTACCGAGCGATGTTCGTTCGTGTATCTCGGGGTTACACGAGCAAGGGACCCTTATTTTCTGACTTGTCGGTCTGGTGAAGACGCGGCAATCTGCATGTGTGTTGTATTCTGCTTGCTCATCATTCATCACTACTTCATCTCGTGCGGGGAAGGCCAGTCTCAGGTTGGCGTCGTGCATATCGGCTCGGACTTGCTCTGTTGCAGATGACTTGTCGCTCTGCATCCGCCATCGCGCAAATGTCCGCGTTTTTGCCTCAGATGATCTTTGTGCCCCTAATATGATAGTTGACATGTTCTCCGTATCAAAGACGTGCCAGCCGGCTAGCGTTACTTGGTGGCTTGCTGCATTCACTTCATCCCTGGCTGGCGTCGCATGTGGTCGAGTGCAGCCGACGCCATGGCGGTTATCTGGGGAATTCCAGTCGGTTGGTTGTCTGCACTCCGCGCTCATTCCTTGACCCTTTGACATAGTATCAATTGTGATACTATGCCCTCCAGCTGCAGCCCTACTGCACCGGCTCGCCAACGCAGGCAGGCGTAAGTTCTGAACCCGATCGCTGATTTGAAAGGAGGCTGGTTCTGGTTCCGGTGCAGCCGCACAAACAGGCCATCAGGTGGAGGCGATTCGGAAATTGGTTCCAAATGTCGTCTCCATGGCAAACAACCAATCCGGCCGAAACGTGACACGACGTTACTGCGTGACTGCGCACCGTTTCGAGGCAAGGGCCGAGACGAAGCATTTCGACACCTTTCTATGCCTTGGCTAGTTGCTATTTTTGGTGTAACTTGACATTTAGGCGCCCTTTGCTGGCGTCGGACTGCCCATCCCTTACGCGGCAGAGCAGACAGGATACCACACGGACGTCAGGTCCAGACAGGCTGATAAGATCCACCGATTTTCGCATCTCACCACATTGCTGTACCGATAGTGTCAGCGGGTATGAGAAAGACATCTTCGAATCCGTCAATTGCCAGTTGCATAGTACGCCGTTAGCTACCCAGCTGAGAATGCTCCGTCTAGAGATGGGGCATTTTGCCATTGCCATTGTAGCAAATATTACAGGCCTTGGATTTGCAGTGGCATTTAACGACAGTGCTGAAGTCATGTCGTGAACAGGCGTGAACAGCCTGTGAACTCTGCCTCGCGCAAGCAGTTGCACGTGTCGTGAGAGATGACAGAGATGAATCGGTAAGATAACTAGTATGTGCCTAGTAGAGAGAGGGGTGCGTAATTTGTATCTGCTCCCAAAGCACATGTACCTTTATATCGCCCGCCGCACTATCCCGCCGGGATGCGTGTATGCCTGATGTTGGCCAGTACATCCTGCCAGGGCTCCTTGTAGTTCGGCAGCCACCTTGCACTTGGGGCGTTTGACTCAACGCTGAGCCCGGCAACTACCCGTTAGTCGCTGATGAGCCAGAGTTGCAAATTAAGCATTCCGCAGCATACTAATATAAAAGCTCCTAGTGAGCCGCCGGTAGATGGGTCATGAAGCCTAGGGGAACCTCTAAAATTTCCCGGCGCGTGGGCCTAGGCCGCATGGCAACTAACGGTTAGGCTTTATACTTTGGGGAACTAGTGCCAAGAGCTCATCATGACGAGGACCAGTTGATGGAGATGCATGGAACAGCCGCAAAGCTCAGTTCTGACCAAGAGTCGTGACTCGCAGCGTCTTCAAGGCCTGTTTAAAACGATCTGAGTACTTAGGAGGCGCCGAATCCAGTCGCACTTTCAAGATACTCAGTCCTCTTTTTAGCGGTTTCTGAGAGACGAGAAGCCACATCACTTACACTATTTTGCCGAGGTCAATCGCTTGGAAGCAGTACCGAGATTTCGGGCGAGATGTTTTTTTTACCTGGCGGTATGTCTGTATAGCTTGATCGATGATTAATGCTACGTTTCCTACAGAGGGCGCCGGATCAGAAAAACCCACGACTCGACGTGCATTGATTTTGTGACGGGTGACCTAGCATGCCTTGGAAGTTTCAATGCTCTTCTTTGGACCCCGGACTAGTCAGCCAGTCATTGGGCGAGATGCTCACATTGTCCTTAACGATTGCTGACTAGTTGCTCGGACATGATAGGCCCAGACGTTGCATTCGTATAGCCGTAGACAGGAAAACTCGGAATACGACTTGAGATGAACGAGCTCGGGATGGCTGACTTGAACATTATTAGCCAGTTGTTCATGAACTTTTGATGGAGAAGCATCAGTGTCTACAATACAGCTTACACCCTGTACATAGTTGTGACTGCATTGACCGGGTATGTGGAGTTGCGGTGGAAGTATGGATGGGAGGGCGAGAAAAGTTTGAAAATTGATGATGGCTGTAATTACTAATAATCAAGCAAGATTAAAGAACAGGGAGAATGTACTCGGTAGATGCTGTCATGGCGCACGAATTTCAGGCAGCCCCCATTGTTTCTTGTTGTTTTGTTCGTAGTAGTAGTGCATAGAATTGCAATGGCCGCAGGGTCACCGACAACGACGACACTAACGATGTCTCGCCTGAGTGGGCTTGATTGCTGGCCAACATGGCCGAGGAGAGTGTGGCTGCTGAATTGTTTTGCGTGGGTGACAGGGACGTGAGAGAGGAACTGGTTTTTTTTGGTCTGGGACAACGGAGGAGAACATTGAAGGTGGCTTCCATTTCGGCCCCCTAACCCTTCTTTCCACCCCCCTTGGCAACCCCCGGGGTTTGTGATGGGGATGTGCGAGACATGAACGAGATGATTGGGCGCAGTGGTACGTAACGGACTTTTGGCCTGCCTTGGGCCCTGGCCTTGGAACTGCGAAATGTGGGTACTACGGCCATGTTCGAATTCAATCGCCCACGGGTCTGTGCCGTCACCTACGTCATAGTCCCCCCCCGGTCGCTTCTCCTGGCGACGGCCACTTGGGCAGTTGACGTCTGTCTCTCCAGAGCTGGAAGGCGGTCCCCAGAAAAAAAAAAGTGACAAAATCGCAACGGCGGACAGGTACTTGGTGTTCTTGGGCACAGGGCCCACGCGCGTAGAGGGACGGGCGGGTAGATGAATCGCCACTTCATGACTGAATTGTTCATTCAATGTGTATGATTTTAAGGCCATGGATAAAGTCTGTTGTTTTGGGCTCTCTTTTTGCTGACCCCCTTGGCCCGTTAAAAACGTGCGAGGAGCATCAGAGCTCAAGTACCTCGACGCCCCCCAGGCGCCCCCTTGTCATGCAGATGCAGCCGTTGACCACTGAGCACAGTCGCCCGCCTGCCCGCTGGCCCACTTGCAGCGCTTGAGGGCTTCTTCCGAGGACGCAGCCTGACGTTGCGGCCATCTTTGTGTCCATTTTTGCGTCAACCGAGTCACTTTGCAAAGTTGCACAACCTCGCGCTTTTGCTGCTCTCGAGCTCGTGGCTTCTGCTCAATCAAGTCTCAGGTGCAGTCTCTCCGTCATTGGCTCCAAGCACCGGAGTACCAAGGCCCTAGACAGTCCTCGAGCCGCTCTCAACCTCCCCGTTGACGGGCACGGTGCCAGACTGCTCTCTGCCGCTCCCTCTCCCTTCATTGCTACTCGTCCAACCTTCTACGGCCGGCTGACGTGACGTCTGTCCTCGGTTGTCTGACGTCTCGCCTGTTGCGTTAACCTGCTCCCTCTGCCTGCATTCTCTGTCTTATCCCGACAGCCTCCTTCACCGTTTATTCTCTTCAGCAACTCCCGGCCTACCGTCGACCTCCGTCGGCCTTGGGCGGTGACAGATTTACTGACAAGAGTTGTCCGCACCTGAGAGCATCACGAGAATTGCCAGTTTCTACTTGGTACGGTGCCCACTACTGCTCCGTATCCCGTACCCTCCTCCCACCACCAGTCCCCCGTCCGTCCTGACCACCGTCTCCAAGGTGCCTCTTGTCGTCGGTTGTGCAAGACAGCTGGACCGGTTGGCTGTGCTGACAGCAGAAGCAACTGCAAATCCCCGTCGTCGCTGGGCCCCATTGACGTTTGTACATCAAAACGGCCTACTTACATACATATACCCGCCTCTGACCTCATGCACACTGCCGCCCACCGAACTGACCTCATAACTACCAATCACGAGCCCCCTTGTATGAGGCATGCACAGCCTGGATCCTCCTCCCCTGGACATTCGTTGCTATATCTCGCCCTCGACTTGTGTCGACTCGACGCGTGCTACCGCAGAGGCTTCTATTGTGGCAGCCGTCAACTCAGCTTCTCCTCCATCTCCGTCGTATAGATCGCCCACGACGCGCAAGTTAGCTGCCGGGAGTGGTATTGCCAGAGATGGAGTGATTGTGGGCAAGTTTGTATTAGCAGAAGAAGCAGAAGCAGAAGACGCCGCCGACATTTTGACTGGGCATGCACGTACTAGAATGGCTCAACGCCGCTCTAGCTACCCCTTCTCTTCGGCGTCCGAACTATCGGGCAGGGGCCTGCGAGAGTGGCAGGGCTCAAAGGAACGACGAGTCCATGGCGATGATGCCATCACTTCTCAGACGGCAGTAGAAGACAACTGGTCGCCTCCAGGCACGGATTCGGGCAACGACCCTTCAGCAGCAGTCTTGGCTACCTCACAGCAACAGCTCAGTGAATATCGCGCCAGGCTGGCCCGGGACCTGGAGACCCGCGAACTCTCAATCAAAGGTCTGCTCATGACACAGTCGGAAAAGGCTCGAGTTTCTCCCATCTTGGAAGAAGGAACGGGCATTCCCTCTCCGCCAATGCTCACGGCGGCACCTACCACCACCTCGACCGAGTCTGGCAACACCGTCCGCGGCGCCATGACCCCGGCAGCAGTCGCACAAACACCTTCGTACCCTTTTCCCCGAATGGCCAGATTTCCTTCCTATCAAACGTCGTCCAAATCGTCTCCCTACCAACCGACGGCGAGCCCGTTATCACGGCAACAATTCCAGTCGCCCATGGAATACCGCGGCTTGCTGGACAGGGTTTTATCAGAGTCATCTACACCAGCGTCGAATGTTACGTTTGAGCCGCCAGGAGCTGCCTCCGGGAATCCTCATGGTTTCGATTTCCCCTCTCCGAACCTCTACGACTTGTCTCTGATGCTGTCTTCTGAGCCTGGGTTAGATGCGTGGTGGAATACAGTGGTACAAATCATGAAGGACATTTACAAAGCAGAGCGAGTGACACTGGCCATTCCCGCCGACACGACTGACATTGAAAATGTTCCTTGGGGTCAAAAGGCCACGTACAATGAGCATCAAGAAGACGAGCTGAGCCTCGGCTACCTGGCAAAGGCGAGTAGTGCTTCCGATGGGGCAGCGGCCTTTGAGGATAGAACCGCAGACTCGCCCTCTACTGCGGCCCCCCGGCCCGGGTTACGGAGCCGGCACTCATATACCGCCTTTGAGGAAAACAAACACAAATCGTTGGACCAGAACTCAACAATGCCGCCGCCGAAAAGACCGACTAATTTATCGAGAAGCAAGACGCAGTATCCGTCACCGCGGGTCGCGACAGAGTTTCACGACGACTACACCAAGTTAAATAAAGACGCTCTGGATGAGCATGACGCCACGGCCGAGACTCAACAGGCAGTTCCCAGCTGGGAAGCTCCGTTTATGGCCCGCTACGAAGGCCAGGGCCAGGTCCTGCCTGTTCTGCAAGCCCTGGATTATGAAGCCGATCCCTTAATTGACCATACCGGTGTTATGCGAGTGCTCGAGCGCGGTCGACCCGTGGCTCTAACTCGAACATATCCATACCTTCCCAGAACAAAGCCCGACCCTAAGCAGACCGTTGACCAGAAGTCAGGTTCCAAGGGAAGCAATGCAGATTCCAAGAGACCGAAAAGATCGCGAACCGAGTCCGTGTCAAAATTGTCGACGATTTTTGCCGGAACAACGCAATCCAAGGGTATGAATAATAATCATGTTGGCGACAAGCTCAAAACGACCACTATATCATCGTCATTGGACGACGAGGGTCCCCGGCCACCAACTCCAAAGTATGAGGAGTACGAGCAAGCGCCGCCGTCCCCATGGTCCCAATCACCAGCTCCGTCTCCCGCCGTTCGAGCCGATCCAAAGGAGAATCCCTTCTTCACAGATGCCATGGTCGACGAAGACTCTTTTAACCCCGGCTCACCCCCCACAAGCTACACAGGAATGCGTCCGCCGGAAGCGATTGGCGTCGATAATTCCTGGACTGTCCTCCACATACCCCTGACACACGTCCTTCTCTCCAAGCCAACGCGGTCATTCAAACTTGATACAACGGCGCTTGAACAAAAGTCACATTTGCGAAGCAGGGGTGAGCGGCATGTAAGCGCTGAGGCCGACCAAGTCTCCCCCGAACAAGTAAAACGAAACCGATCGTCCCCCATTGCCGTCCTCTCCATCCTTAGCCCAATTATACCTTATCCTTCCAATCTGAGACACTCTTTAGAGCACCTGGCGCCGCACATGGCCACTTCCTTCTCGCTTTGTCGTCATTACAGCAACCTTGAAACCGAATTAGCTGGTATTCGACGACGACGGCCTTCGACAACCGGCTTTGGGGCGGTAGCTCCGTTCGGAAGCCACGTCGACGGCGGCGCGTTTCTGCCATCGGCGCAGGCTCTTGTTCACCAGAACTCTCTCGGAGGAAGCATTACCAGTCCGAGCGACTATTCGGCCATCTCGAAAAGTACAACTGCCTCACCATTGGTTACACCTGGCTGGGAACACGGCTCGCTGAATCATCTTGTCGACCGGCGACAACCTCTTGGTAGTCCTTCAGGTTCACAGGCCCTAGAGAGCTATTTCGCAACAAAGCAAAGACTAGTATTAAAGGAGGCGTCGACTTCGGCGACTCAACGGTCGCGAACTGTCTCTAAGGATAGCTCCCCCGGCGAGAAAAGGCATTCGTCTCTGACTGGTGTTCGATTTGGGAACGAGTCGACTTCTAGCCCCCAGCAGCTAGTGACGGAAAGAGGCTATTTCGAATCCGAAGATCCCATGACGAAACCCCAGAAGGAGGAGGAAGAGGACGAGGAAGAGGAGGACGAGGAGGACGCCGGTGCGTTGAGTAGCAGCGGCGGTGGGGCTTATGAACTGGTGAGCGACAAGGCCGAGGACGGGGCCAAGACAGACCTCAACATCAACAACAAAATCACATCTCACCATGGCCACAGTGTGTTGCATAGCTACGGCGCCGACTTTTCTTCCACCTTCCAATCGCTTCCTCCGAGCTCAAGTTTGTCGGCTAGACTGCCTCCCACCCCGGCCGCACCACCGCGTAGCGGCTCGTTGACGTCCATGGCTGGAGACATGCCACCTCCGTCTGATAGGTTAAAGGGCCTCATACTAGACTCGCTGCCTGCCCATGTCTTTGTGTCATTGCCCCAAACAGGGGAGACTGTGTGGGTGAATAGTCGCTTCTTGTCATATCGTGGGCAGACGGTAGCAGACCTGTCGGCTGATCCATGGGGGAGCATTCATCCCGACGACCGAGCGGGCTATCTCAAGGCCTGGGGCCACTCGCTTCGGACAGGCGAGCAGTTTTCAAGATCCGTCCGTATAAAGAGATTCGACGGTGCATACCGTTGGTTCTATGCCCGCGCTGTGGCGTCAAAGGACAAGAGAGGAGTCATTATGCAATTCCTGGGCTCGTACATGGACATTCACGACCAGCATATTGCCGAGCTAAAGGCTGCTCGACAAGAAGAAATCGAGGCGTCCGAGGCCAAACACCGACTGCTCGCCAACCTTATCCCACAAATCATCTTTACGGCCACCGAGGATGACGCCATTACGTTTGCCAATGACCAATGGCTGTCCTATACCGGGCAGAGCTTTGAGGATTCGCTCGGTCTTGGATTCATGGACCACGTGCATCCTGATGATTTAGCGAGATGTCGTATTCCAATTGAGCATGGAGGTGAGTCTTTGAATGATGCGCGATCACCTCCGGAAGAAAAGGACCACGGCGGAGCATCGTCGTCCGGAACCCAGACTTCGCCAACGGCGCGCAATGTGCAGCAGCAGCCAGCTGTTGGCAAGTCAGGAATGCGAAACGTGCAGCCTGCGCTGTCCAGAGCCAGCAGTTCCGGTTCCGAGTCCATCTACTCCCTCCCATCTGCCGAACTCACAGAACTGGCACGGAAGGGCATAATAAAGGTGACGACAGATACAAGCGGCAGGCTGTCGTACACTACCGAGGTCCGACTCCGGTCTAAGACTGGCGAGTACCGATGGCATCTCATTCGTTGCGTCGAAATCGACACGTTTGATTTCGGGCGGGGAGCCAGCTCTTATTTTGGCTCTGCTACCGATATCAACGATCACAAGCTTCTAGAGGCCAAGCTCAAGGAAGCCATGGAATCCAAAGGTCGATTTCTGAGCAACATGTCTCACGAGATTCGAACGCCGCTCATTGGCATCTCGGGCATGGTGAGCTTTTTGCAGGACACCACGCTCAACGAGGAGCAAAGAGACTACACCAACACAATTCAGACCAGCGCCAACAGCCTAATCATGATTATCAATGACATTTTAGACCTGTCAAAGGTGGACGCCGGCATGATGAAGCTAAAGTACGAGTGGTTCCACACGCGGTCTCTGATTGAGGACGTGAATGAACTCGTATCAACCATGGCCATTGCCAAGCGCCTCGAGCTGAACTACCTCGTCGAAGCAGATGTGCCTGCGTGGGTAAAGGGCGACAAGGTTCGAATTCGCCAAGTCCTGCTCAATGTCATTGGAAATGCAATCAAATTCACGGCCGAGGGCGAAGTGTTCAGCCGGTGCAGAGTGTATACCGAAGAGGATCCAGTAGTTTGCAACGAGAACGAAATCATGCTTCAGTTTGCCATTACTGATACAGGCAGGGGCTTCACAAAGGAGGAGGCAGAACTGATCTTTAAGCCATTTAGCCAGATAGACGGAAGCAGCACCAGGCAACACGGCGGAAGCGGCCTGGGACTGGTGATTTCTCGACAACTTGTTGAGCTTCATGGTGGTAAGATGGAAGGCACGGCCATTCCTGGTAAAGGGTCAACCTTTACCTTCACTGCTCGATTTACCTTGCCATCGCCCGAAGACCATCCCAACATCCCAATTAGTCCTGGATCAACCGCCTCCACTGGATCAAGACAAGGGTCGTCCGAAAATGTCAACCGTCCAACTAAAGAACTTGCCGCGGTGGAGCAGTTGGGAGGCAGTAGTAGTAGCCCAAGGGAAGGAGAAGAAGAAGGGGCAAGCCCCAAGGAAGTAGCCTCTGCATCCCCCGTGTCCGTCAATGCAAGTGGTAGCCCGGAACCTCCGAATCGCCTTCCGAGATATCTCACAGTCCCCCCCTCAGGTGCATCTGGCCATTCCGGTCTGACTCAGTTTAGTGAGGCAGCCAAGGCCAGCGGACAGGACTTGTCCCAGATGAAATTGGAAATGGCCGTGGACAGAGGGTCGCCGTCGAGACCGTCAACGTCAGAGGTTGGCAGCCCTCGGCCAACATGTGATTTGCGCCCACCACTGTATTCAATCTTGATCATCTGCGCACAGCACCACAGCCGCGAAGCAACGACGCAACACATTGAAATGACGCTACCCAAGGACGTTCCTCATCGGATTACGGCCATTGCTTCCATCGAAGACGCGGAGCCTTTTCTTGGCGGCGAAGATTCCATGCGATTTACTCATATCGTCCTCAACTTGGCGTCTGCCGAGGCCATCATTGATGTCATGGATCGAATCACAAAGTCGCAGAAAATCGAGGGAACCACCATTGTGATTCTCTGTGACTCTGTACAACGACAAGCCGTTCAGAAGCTAGCTGCCGATACGAAGCACGAGCGTTTCCTGTCGGAGAATCTCGTCACCTTTATATACAAGCCTGTCAAGCCGTCACGATTCGCAGTCATCTTTGACCCGGAGAAAGTACGAGATCTCAGCACGGACAGAAACCGATCCACAGCGCAACAAATGGTTGAGAATCAAAAGGCCAGTTACCAAGAGATTGAGAAGCGCATGGGCAACAAGGGGTACAGGGTGCTGCTTGTGGAGGACAATCCTGTGAATCAGAAGGTGTTGAACAAGTATTTGAAGAAGATTGGAGTCGAGGTCGAGGTTGCTGTTGACGGCGTTGAGTGCACGGAGATTGTCTTGTCCAAGCCTCATAGCTACTACTCCCTGATTCTGGTAAGTTGCTGCGGGATGAAACAAAATGTGCCGAGCCGAAAGCTAACGTACTGCGCAAGTGTGACCTCCATATGCCACGGAAAGACGGCTACCAGGCATGCCGTGAAGTACGAGAATGGGAGAAGGCATCGAGTTTGCCCAAGCTGCCAATTATTGCACTGTCAGCTAATGTCATGTCTGATGTGCAAGAAAAGTGTGTTGCGGCGGGTTTCAGCGACTACGTGACAAAACCCGTCGACTTTATCGATTTAAGCAGGGCCATGGCCAAGTTCTTCTGAGACGGCAGGAGCAGCCCATGAGATAGCAGCGAGTTGCTCCTTGTTGATTTTCATTCTACTTCACCTTACATATTCTTTTCCCCCCTCCTTTTCTCAACACTGTATTCTTCCGTCTTTGGAGGGGCGAGGGCATAAACCTTCTGGTACCGCTGGTATATAACACAGCATGAAATACGCCGGGACCTCTTCCTTTTCTTCCCTCTTTTTTTTAAACTCTTTTTCAATTCTATGCCTATTAGGAGGTAATACGAAGCGAGCGATAGCGGCCGCAATCAACCGCTACTACATGGGAGTCTGGTTTCATGTGATGCGAAAGCACGCTTTACGAGTCCCCCGCGAAAGGGACACTGTCTGGCCCTCACGAAGAGACGTGTTTTGTCCATTTTCTAGCATGACGCATCACTGTATGGGATCGGTTTGACTTATACAAGGGGGAGTGTTTAATATTCCCCCCACGTGGGTGGTTGTTGAGAGGAAAAGGATGTGCGTACCTGTTAATGAAGGACGCAAGTGTTTGGTGGACTTGCTTGATGACGGATGTTTGTGTTTACTGGATCTGGGTTGATTCGGGTTCATTTTCATTCCATGTGTTATTAAAACTTAAAACGTCCGCATGGCCGATGCAAAAGGGTAGGAAGGCGCAAGGTAAATTCTTGTCATGTATTGGAATTTTGTAGATAGACGTCGTCGGGTAGGCGGCGCAGAAAGAATTGATTTCTTCTGGGACTAGATTGTTGTCGAGGTGTAGATGGTAGATATGCCAAGCTAAAAGTTTGTCTGGATACGTGGAGCCTTGGTTTGCCGGGCACATGGGCTTTGGATGGTTCACTTGGGTCTCGAAGTCGGTGTTTTGTCGGAGTCGTGACACTCGATCGTATCTGGGGTCACTTTTTCTCATCATTTCCCACTCGAGGAGTCTGTCAGATCCATCCCATCCATCAATCAGTCGGTCATGCCATGTATTCAATCTATACAGCCCAATGTATGTACGCCCTGTTTTGCCACCCAACGCCAGCAATGCTATGCCCAGAACAGTGAAAGAAAAAGAAAGAGAGAAAAGACAGCTTTACAACGCAATCTAGTACACGCTCCCGCGAATGCTCCTGTCCTCCTCCTCAGCGGCATCCAGGTCCTCCATGTCGAAGCCCGCCACGGGTGGTGCGTCTCCCAACCGATTAGCACGCGCGCCCATACACTTGGTGGTGCCGCCGCCGCTCGCTGGAGCTTGTGGCCTGCCATTGTGACTCGTCTTTCGGCGGCGGCAGCGGCGACCCCGGTCGGACGAGGCGTCCGAGTCGGAGCCGGCGAGGGATGCGTGGCCCGAGTAGGTGCCGCCAAAGTCGCGGCCGAGGTGTAGCGGGGGGGACTTGAGGCTGCGCAGACGGTCCTCAGCCGTGATGTAGGACGGCGTGCCGTCTGGAGAAGACACGATGTCGTCCAGGCTACGTGTCTGCTCGAGCGGCGCGTCGCCCAGGGCGTGCTGGTCGCTGTGCTCGTCGTCGCCGTCGCCCATGCTCACGGTGGATTTGTGCCGGTGGCGACGGGCGGATAGCATGACTGGGCCTCCGTTGGCGGCGGCGGCGGCGGAGGCGTGGCCGCTGAGCTCGTTGTCCTTTTGGCGCAGGGCCTCGAGGTCGTGACGCCTCTTGTAGTGATCGGTGTGGTTGCAACCGTTGGGACAGCCGCCCCATTTCCGGGTCACGACAAAGGTGCGTGTCCGGTCGAGCTTGGAGGCGTCGTCCTTTTCCTTTCCCTTGATGCTGCTGCTGCTGCTGTTGGCGAGGGCTCGTTCTCGGCGGAGCTCAGACCACGTGCGGAGCTTGGTTTCGAGGAGGAATTTGCCGTTTTCTTGCTTGCGCATGATGAGGAACTCGCAGTGGTCGACGTTGCGGAGGTCTTCAAAGTATTCGACTGTGAAGTGGTACCATTTCATGAGAAAGACGCGCGACATGAGGCCGTGAGTGACTGGATGCGGAGAGAAAAGATAGACAGAGGAGGTTAGACTTGGTTCATGGTGAAGCAGAAAGAGGAGGCGAGAGTGGGCAGTTACCTAGGATGCAGACGCTGGCAAAGTCGTCGTCGCCGAATTGGCGCCATAGACTCTCGTTGAAGCCGCTCACGCGGTCGTAGGCGTCGGCGGCGCTCTCGCCGTTGGGGATGCGGTAGAAGAAGTGTCCGTAGTCTGCGCGCTCCTGCCACATGCGCTCCATCTCGGCGCTGCATGGCTGGAAGTTGCCAAAGTCTTGCTCGCGCAGCCTGGGCTCCTCGTAGACCTTGATGTTGGACCGGCGGAACGGCGAGGGCTCCGGGTCGTCGGACGTCAAGGTGGCGAGGAGGCCTTCTGTGGTTTCGCGCGTGCGTCGGTAAGGCGATGTGAATACCTGGAGGGTGTCGTCTGGGCGGAGGAGGTTGCGCAGGCGGCGGCCGGCCTCGTGGGCTTGGGACCAGCCTTCGGGCGTGAGCTTTACCCGGTGATCTGGGACGGTTTGGTGGATCTCGCGGTTTTCTGAAGAAGTAAGAAGAGCATTTAGCAATTTTGCAAGTCAAGGGTTAGAAGAGACTAGCTGCGGTTGGCAAAGAGACGTACTGTTACCCTCCGACTGGCCATGCCGAATCAGTATAATCAATCTCGGCTTTGCCATGGTTTTGCAGGTGCAGAAAGAGAAAGACAGGGGGTATGTGTAGTTTGCAGAGGACACGAGTTGGATTGGGCTGTTGACGTTTGGGATATTCTTTCTCGGCGTTGAGGTGTTGGTGTTAACGGTGACAGTTTGAAAACGGGCTGCAGGAAAGTCGAGGCGCAGGCATGTCAGATGCAAAGAACGGAGTAACCTTGGACAAGGAGGCCATTCGAAGCTCCTGGTAGAGGTTGTAGTAAAGCCAAGAGGCTTGTTGGAGGTGATCGAATGTTGTGCTCGAGCATGTGGATTATAAATGGTGACTCCAGACTGGATGGAGTTAGTGCACTCAAGTAGCGCGGTACCTCCCCTCGAGCGGCGGCAACAGGCGTCTGACACGTACTGACTACATACAAATGTACCTTAAACCCATGGAACTGTCGCACGTGGGGCAGCCCGGGACCCCAGTCATGCCGGCGCGAGTAAGTATGAAACCATTTGCAACAGCTGCCTAATAAATCCTTCTCGCGTGACGTGTGCGTTGTCTTGTCCGCTATTGGTGGTACAGCCGCCGCGAGCAGCTCTTTTTATTTCTTCCCCTCCCGCTAATGCATGATAAGGTGATTTGATGTCGACCTGGATATGGGGGCCACAGGACTGCATCTCGAATGTATCAAAGTGGTGGCATGCGTCGTCTTGGGTTAACGTCTTGGGAAAGACATGTGGGGCACCGTCTTTTTGACGTCCGGAGTAAATCTTGTCGCAATCCTCTTCTCAGCCTTGTCAGAAACCTTCCCTCTGCAAACGTCAAACTTTGTTGCCGGGAGCTGCCTAGAGACTCGAGCCCCTGTCCCACAATTCGCTTCCCCTACATTTTATTTTGTTTGTTGTTCTCCGTGTCTCACTCCGTTGTTCGCCCCCCCCCCCCCCCCTGCTTTGCCTTCCCGTCCCCC